GTCTAGTGAGATACCCTATTTATGTTATTGCAGGGTGAAAAATCACCAAAATCTTTATGGAAAACATTCTTTCATATATAACAATTATATGATCAAATAAGAACAAAATATCAAACTTCTTCCATATTTCAAACAAAGCTTTCAATTATAGGAATCACATACCTCTGAACCAATCAGGTTTCTCATAATGCCACTTTTAAACATTTTTAAGTCAAAATATGGTTTATAAAGTTTTAGGCCAAACCTGATGTTTTCTCCTCAATAACATCCAAACTATGATTTCCAATAAGAACCTTGATCCTAGATCTTTAAATCACAAAGAAATAAAAGATTCCAGAATACGGTAATCTTAAAGGATATAATAGAAAGAGTTATATCATACATTCACACATACAAATGCCACCCTTATATCCAAAGGTACACCTCTCTTTGATATGCCACCCTTATCTCATGGTACACCTCTCATTGATATGTCACCCTTATTTCATCATCAAAATATTACACAAAATAATTTCAAATAGACCGCAGCCATTGAAATTATTATCAATACAAAAATCATTTCTTTCAAAACTTCCTCTTTATGATAAAATAACATTTCTTATTGAAAACACAAGACATCACTTTAAATCCGGTCAACTTGATTTAGCCGGACTTCAACTCCGGTCAACAATCCGGACAACACACAGCATAAGCTTTGTCCGATTTAACACTTAAAATATATTCAACAACTTTGTCCGGATAACAAGTCCGGACAATACCTCGTTCATTACTTGGCCGATTTAAAATAATCCGGCCACCATTTGGTCGTATTCCTACTTCTCAATTCAAAAAGATAATTATTCTTACCAATCATAACCCGATCAACACTTAACCGGTTTAAGGTTAAACCGTTCAACACCTGAGCGATTTAAGACTTAACCGCCCAACACTTGACTGATTTAACACTTAGAATAAATTTCAACTTTGTCCGGATAAAAGTCCGGACAATACATCGTCCAACCCTTGTCCGATTTAAAACAATCCGGACAAGCCTTGTCCAGTTTAATACCCGGATAAAACACTTGAGCAAAAGACTGATTTCTTTCCAAAAATAAACAAGATTCATATAAAACCAATAATAGTTTTATGCAAAAGAGTTTAGAAATTACTCACCTTAACAAGCTTTTGAAATCAAATACTTGAAATCAGCTTGATCTTGCAATCCGGCCAACTCTTTTCTTTAAATTGCACAATCTTTCTAAAAATGCAAGAAGAAGAGAATGGAGGCTAAGCCCTCCTTTTATACTTTCCTTTTAGGGAAAGTCGGCTAACAGCCC